AGTTTCACCGCAAACCGGAAGTATCTCTTTAGACACCTTTGCGCATGCTCGCATATTGACTAAGTCACGGTATCATAATAATCATATGTGGGTTACATCCCTAACAGCGGATTTTTTGGCTTCAAAAAATGTGCGTTACGCAGTTCAAGGTAGCAAGTTCGATTTTTCAAGAGACGTTTTCAACAGTTGGGCGGTATGTTGAGAGATTTTACTTCTCATTGTAATTCGCTTTGGCATTTGCATGTTAAAATATAGTATTAATTATTTCTTGTGAGGTGATTATCAATTGCATCCGTTTTTTTGATCGCTCGTACGTAACCTGAGTTGGGGCCGACGGGACTCCAATAATAGACGGGATTGTTAATTTTAGTATTTTTGGTTCTGATCAATAATTCCATAATTGCCACTGTGATGCAATMCAAAACTGGTACCATAATAAAACCTCAGCGTTTGCATCATAAAAAAGAGCACCGCCTGATCTGATGTGTTATTGATGATAACTAACGCATGCATTAAGTGACCCCACCCCACCCTACCCCACCCCACCTTTTAAAATAGTCACAGGCACCCTAAAACCCAGGATCGCCTCTGAATTATGAACAACTTTTATTATTTTCACACATATATACTTTTATTATGAAAAATGTGTGATAGCTTTCGATTTGACTAAATAAAGACTTAAGACTTGTTACAGCGATACCTGCAAAGTAATACCTCCGCACATTTTGCTTTTATTTATGAAATGACATTAAGGACGTTCATGGGCATTGTTTCTACGCATTTTCATGGGCATCCTTTCTACACTTGAATTTAGTGCGGCGCGCGCTCATCGTGAGGACGTCATTCCAATGTTTTGATAAGCAAAATCTCAAAAAAACGTCTTTCATCTCTTATAGCTCTAAACTGAAGTAAGGCACCCTTATTTTATTTTGTTTTTTGAAAGTACTCGGTAATACCTAACTTTAGAGGAAAAATGAAAAAATCGGACGATGGGATCAAATCGAAATTGCATATTTTGTGTATAATTGGAATATGATTTCACGTAACGGGAAGGCTTCAAGTCCACACTTATAGCACAATAACATTTTATATTTCTAATCTTTAACCCAAATTTCAAATACAAACTTGCTATTGGGTTATTTTCTAGTCTTCTGTAAAAAATGGGGACGATCAATTTATTTTTTCAGTAAATATGACTTATTTTTGACGGCTTTCCATGTTTACGCGCGTTTTTACCGTAAAAAGGGTGAACTTTCACGTATTCTGACGAAGTTGGGGACCCCCATTTTGTATTTGCTTATTTTACTTCTAGTATAATGTTCTTTCATCATGCAAAATTAAAAAGAAAATTGTCGATGGGATCTTTTGCCCATGAACGTCCTTAAGGTGGCTGGACCCCCTCACGCTTGACCGCTACCTTCCACTTTTGAAACGCTGGTGCATAAACGTGTTTTATCGGATTGCAAATCTCTTTTGCACATAAGTCACATAAAGATTGAATTAACGTTTGATGCAGTTTTTAGTGAGATCGGACGTCATAACACGTGATTATGATGAAATATTTGTTTTCGTTTAGAAAATAATTTTAGCCTTGCAGAGCGTTCAACRCTAAAATGCTTCGTACCACATAATTATATACTGGATGCCTCCATTGTGGGGATTTTTGAAAAAATCCATCTAGCTAATTATGAGATATTTGAGATTATTTAAATATAGTGCATAATCTACTTCAAAACTAAACAATGGATTT